CCTTCTGATTCTCTGCCCTCAGACTCTGGCACAGATCTGAGTTGGAAGCTGGAATGTGGAAGTCTCAGAACTTCAGCCTCCTGGAGGAGTGTGCAGCTAGGGGCCAGAGGCTGTGCCTGAGTCTGCACTTTGAGAGAAGATGCAAAGGCATGCAAATGAGATGACATAGTGGATGTGGTGCTGACAGGGAGAACCCCTACTTCTGCCTCTCTCTAGCCTGAATTTTAAGGATGATATGAAGAAGAGGACCCAGCATCAGGAAGGATTTGGGACCTGCAGGACAGTGGCGTGGCTGTGGCTTCTGGGGTCAGCTCTGGAGGGAGCTCTAGGGAGAGGGGCTGCAGGGGGTGACCCTGAGATGAGAGCATCCTGGCTGGGGCAGCCTGAAATCATTCCTAGCAACAGAAAGACGGGTATGACTAGAAGGTGGAGGGTGCAACTCCAATGCACAGGTATTGAATGCCCAGGACCTGGCTCCCAGCGGTGAGAGTGTTGGGTCCAGCAGGATTCAGAGGCTCAGATTGTCCCTGCCCCAGGACACCTAGGGAGGGAAGCAGAACTGTGCCTGAGTGGCCTCTCCCCTTGGGACTTGGGCATGTGGGCCTGCTCTCTCTGTGATGGAGAGGAAAGAAGAGAGTGGGTGTCGGGCTGCTAGAGGAGGTAGGTAGCTTCCTCTGCCCTGGAGACTGACTCCCCCACCCATCCTAGGAAGATTGGGGAAACTGACTTCCCTGCTGGGAGTTTTGGACAGCTTTTGGCTGAGCTCAGAGGAACTTCCCAAGAGTGCTGTAAGAATCTGAGAGCCTGGCCCCTGATCATGGGTGACACGGTGCCCTCCAGAGGGAGCGCTGGGACCTGGAATTCTCAGTTGTGTCCTGTGGTGATGTGGGCTTGAGTTGGAATACCGGGTTCAAGTTCTTTCTTGTTCATCAGCTGCTCTGTGGTGTTGCTTGACCTCATTGCCCTGAGCCCATCCCTAAGCTTGGGAAAGAATCATGGCCAATTCCCAGGTCTTAGTGGGGCCTGTGTGGAGGACATGTAGGAAATGCTTGGCGCAAGGGCAGGCCCTCATACACTGATTCAAATGAAATGAGGAAACACATGAGGGCCGCTCTGGGCTGCCCCGGCCATGCCTGATCCCAGCACTGAGGGACTCTGGGTGGGGCGGGGACTGCAAGTCCAGGGAACACTGTCCTCAGCACTCTTGGGCCTCGCTCCATCTTTCTCCTGACTTCATCTCCGCCCTTTCTTCTGTGCCTCTCTGTGACTTTTGTCCCCTTTCTTTCCGTTCCTTCTCTTCCAGTGGAAGTGCCTAACTCAGCACCTGGCTCCGACACACACAATTCATGGCTCCCAGCTTGCCTCAATGGCCTCTCTGTTGCCCCGGGGCGCCATCCCGCCACCCCCAGCACCATCTCCTTCCCTCTTCTGGGCCTCTGTTTCTGACGCCCTCTTTGTCTCTGGGCTCTCTGCTCCTGGCTCTCCCGCCATCTGTTTCTGCAGCCTCTGTGTGCAGCGAACAGGACTCCACTGAGCGCCTCCTCGATGCCAGGCACTGCTCTTCTCCTTTCTCAGTTCTGCCTGTCCTCACCTCTGGCTGTCGTCTTCTCTCCCTTCCCCACCCCTGCGGCCTTTGGCCCTCCCTCCCCCAGCAGCTCCACCGGGCTCCAAGGCTGGTATTATTCAGTTTTATGAGAAACCCCCAGGCCTACCCCTGAAGGGACCAACCACAACTGGAACCAGATGTGCGATCCTGTGTTGGAGTTGGAGAGAGGGAGGAGGGAGAGGGCATGGGCTGGCCTAGGGAGGTTGAGGGGCTGGGGCTGGGGGGTGGAAACCTTGGGAATCTGGTCCTCAGTGG